ATGCAATTGTCAAAATAAATAAACAGGAAAATGTTTATCCTGGTTGAATTCTTATTAGGAGTATCGCTTCGGAGCCATTGCTTATGTATCCCTGACATTGATCCCCATGCTTGTAACGACAGTGGGTGGTTAAGCTACCGTTACATGAGGGCATTGCGGAAGTAAACACATCCTTATAAACACACCGACTTGCCCCGAGTCTGGTCAGTGCTACTGTGTGTGTGTGTGTGTGTGTGTGTGTGTGTGTGTGTGTGTGTGTGTGTGTGTGTGTGTGTGTGTGTGTGTTTATTTATTCATTACTATATTGTGCCTGAGAGTAAGAACCATACTGTGGTACGAGTTGAAAGCGCTAGCATTATAAACATATCAATCTTACTCCACTTATTTAATTATTACTAGGGGCGAAGGATCGAACTATTTTCCTGATCACGTGGTAACACATTTATTGGTCCGATGAAACGGGAAGGTAATTTGTCGTTTGTATAGACGATAACACCTCCTTCAGATTTATTCCTAAAATGACAAATGCAAAAAAACAGAGCTGTTGAATATTTAGACTGAGTTCATTTTAAACTCAGTCGACATTCACTCATGTATGTAAATGGATATATTATAGTGCTGGATCCCCTTACCACGTGGTCACAGTTTCCGTGCTGGCCATATGTGTGAATATGTAGAATGTTATTGTTAGCTGTATACAAAGCACTGTTTAGAACATCAACAACATCTACGATAGGTTACAAGGTGTGTCAGTTTACCCAGTCTCCTGTGACACAATACATCACGCACGATGAACAAATAATGGCTTTAATCTTATCGTTAGTTGCAGGTTTTCCTGACGCGAACGTGCTCATTTCATATGTGTATTGAATGCAGACATTCCAATAAAAGTAAAAGTTCCAACTATCCGCTATTAAGAGGCTTCTATATTGCTGAGCTCTGTGTTAAACAACAAATAAGCAAGCAAAAATTGCGACAGATTTCACATGTCTTCATGACATTTGTGTTTTGGAATGTGGGCAACAATGTCTAGATATTACATATTGGTCATACAAATGTGAGTTACAGGTTGCAAGAAATTATAATTATTTCAAACCCAAAGTCAAATTGATGGAATGTGAAGGGATAACACAATATCAGTGATGACACCAGGTGTTCACGAAAAGGGCAAGCACGAAAAGGCAGTATCGAGTTTGGACCGAATTCGTACCATGATCAATGATCCATGTCGTAGGGGATGTGTGGTGGGTACGTCATGGAGATGGGCTGAAGAAGGTGTGTATGTGTGTGTTTTGAGTGTGTGTGTTTTGAGTGTGTGTGTTTTGTGTGTGTGTGTTTTTGTGTGTGTGTTTTTTGTGTGTGTGTTTTTGTGTGTGTGTGTGTGTGTGTGTTTTGTGTGTTTTGTGTGTGTGTGTGTGTGTGTGTGTGTGTGTGTGTGTGTGTGTGTGTGTGTGTGTGTGTGTGTGTGTGTGTGTGTGTGTGTGTGTGTGTGTGTGTGTGTGTGTGTGTCGAAGATGGTCTGTGTGTGTGTAGATGTTGGGAATGGTATGTGTATGTGTTGGCGATGAGGTGGGTATATATGTTGGGGATGGCGTGTGTGTATGTGTTGGCGATGATGTGGGTGTATGTGTTGGGGATTGGGTGTGTGTATTTGCTGAAGATGGTGTGTGTGGACGGGTTGGGATGTGTGTGTGTATGATGGGGATGGTGTGTGTGTATATATGTTGGGGATGGTGTATGTATATGTTGGGAATGGTGTGTGTGTATGTGTTGGGAAGGGTGTGTGTGTATGTGTTGGGGATGGGGCGTGTGTATGTGTTGGCGATGGGGTGTGTGTGCGTAAATGTGTTCTGGATTGGGTGTGTGTATGTGTTGTGGATTGGGTGTGTGTATGTGTTGGGAAGGGTGTGTGTGTATGTGTTAGGGATTGGGTGTGTGTATGTGTTGGCGATGGGGTGTGTGTATGTGTTGGGGATTGGGTGTGTGTATGTGTTGGCGATGGGGTGTGTGTGTGTGCGCAAATGTGTTCTGGATTGGGTGTCTGTATGTGTTGTGGATTGGATGTGTGTATGTGTTTGGAATTTGGCGTGTTTATGTGTTGGGGATGGCGTGTGTGTATTTGTTGGGGTTGCGGTGTGTGTATGTGTTGGGGATGGCGTGTGTGTATTTGTTGGAGATGCGGTGTGTGTATGTGTTGGGGTATGGCGTGTGTGTATGTGCTGGGGATTGTGTGTGTGTGTTCGGGATAGGGTATGTGCATGTTTTGGGGATTCGGTGTGTGTATGTGTTGGAGTTGGTTTGTGTGTGCGTGTCGGGGATAAGGCGCGTGTATATGTTGGCGATGGGGTGTGTGTTTGTCGGGGATGGGGCGTGTGTATGTGTCGGGGATGGGGCGTGTGTATGTGTCGGGGATGGGGCGTGTGTATGTGTTGGCGATGGGGTGTGTGTATAAGTGTGTGTGTGTGTGTGTGTGTGTGTGTGTGTGTGTGTGTGTGTGTGTGTGTGTGTGTGTGTGTGTGTGTGTGTGTGTGTGTGTGTGTGTGTGTGTGTGTGTGTTTTGGGGATAGGTTGTGTAATTGTCGGTGATGGGGCGAATGTGTGTTTTGGGAATGGGGTGTTTATATGTGTTGGGGATTGGCCGTGTGTATGTGTTGGGGATTGGGTGTGTGTTGGGCATGGGGCGTGTGTGTATATATGTGTTAAGGATTGGGTGTGCGTGTGTTTTGGGGATGGGGTGTGTGTATGCGTGTGTGTGTGTGTGTTTTGGGGGTAGGTTATGTAATTGTCGGTGATGGGGCGTATGTGTGCGTAAATGTGTTCTGTATTGGGTGTGTGTATGTGTTGTGGATTGGGTGTGTGTATGTGTTGTGGATTGGGTGTGTGTATGTGGTGTGGATTGGGTGTGTGTATGTGTTGTGGATTGGGTGTGTGTATGTGTTGTGGATTGGGTGTGTGTATGTGTTGTGGATTGGGTGTGTGTATGTGTTGTGGATTGGGTGTGTGTATGTGTTGTGGATTGGGTGTGTGTATGTGGTGTGGAATGGGTGTGTGTATGTGTTGTGGATTGGGTGTGTGTATGTGTTGTGGATTGGGTGTGTGTATGTGTTGTGGAAGGGGCGTGTGTATGTGTGTGTGTGTTTTGGGGATCGGGTGTGTGTTTTGGGGATGGACGGTGTGTTTGTCGGGGATTGGGCATGTGTATGTGTTGGCGATGGGGTGTGTGTGTGTGTTTTGGGGATGGGGCGTATGTGTGTTTTGGGGATCGGGTGTGTATATGTGTTGGGGATTGGGCGTGCGTATGTGTTGGGGATTGGGTGTGTGTTGGGCGTGGGGCGTGTGTGTATATATGTGTTAAGGATGGGGTGTGCGTGTGTTTTTGGGATGGGGTGTGTGTATGTGTGTGTGTGTGTGTTTTGGGGATAGGTTATGTAATTGTCGGGGATGGGGCGTGTGTATGTGTTTGGGATGGGGTGTATGTATGTGTGTGTAGGGGATGGGGTGTGTGTTTGTTTTGGGGATGGGGTGTGTATATGTGTTGGGGGATGGGGTGTGTGTATGTGTTGGGGATGGGGTGTGTTTATGTGTTGGGGTTTTGGTGTGTGTGTGTGTGTGTGAAAATGATAAATATATCGAAATATTATTTTGTTAATATATGACTGTTGAACATGACTGATTGGGCACCTTTGACAAGGCCAATATGAAAAAACAAAGTTAATGACATATTTATCAATTGTCTGCCTGATAATATATTTCCACATAGCATCGGTCATATTCCACATAGTATCAGTATCAGTCATGGAGATCCCGAAAAAAGGTAAAAGATGTCACACTTAAAAAAAAGGTCATTACGCGAAAAATTCCTATTAGCCCGACAAATCCCTATTGGTCCTTTCAAATCCCGTATTTCAAATCGGGTGCTTCTATGTGACGCGCCGATTTCAGTGTATCACGTGTTTCGATTAATAAAAATAAATATGAAATGACAAATGCATGATGAAATTCTCTAGCTTGCTTCAAATCTGATAAAATGTTGCCTTCGGAGGAAATATACGTATCACAGTAAACAAAAACATAACAAAACAACAACCCTCACCAAATAACACATGGTCGGAAAATTTATCATTTTACTTCCTACTTCCTCCAAGGTGACCACGATAGCATTAAATTTGTGTTTGATGTAATCTGTGTCTGCTTCATGTGTCGGTGATTATCATGGCGTAAACTTTTGTTTTGCCTCAACACGTTTCTGTTGTTTCTGTGAAAAATAATCTACCACAACACCATTAGTTTCAGGAAGTATAATCGCATATGTATTATTCAAGGGAAGTATTTGTAATATCATTCATGTTAATGCAGCTCATCTGACTGCAGATCTACTACTGTGGGTGCGGAGTGTCCAGGGAAGGAGGAGGACTGGTTGATGTCATTGATTTAAACCAAAGGTATACACATCCTCAGATCAAAGCTATCTGTTATAAAGGCAGAAATGATCCGATGAATATTACTTTTAGTAAATAGATCAGCGATTGCTGTTCACATTCCATCCACGACCTGAAAGCATGTTGCTTTACGATGAATAATTAGTATTAGTCCAAACATATAACGGTGGCTTTGACAGACAGAGAAACTAACCTATTTTGTGTCATTGTGTTTTTTTTACCACAGGTCACATTGAGTGGCATTGTTGTACCTCAGAATCAGTTAAGGTTATCCAGGACGTGTGGAAAGTGACATAAGTAATCACAATAAGTATTGGTAACAAATGCCGTTATCATTTTTGTGTAATTCGACTTTTCACATCAGTTATGTTAACTACACAATAGAAGTGAGGGAAATACATGAATTTCATAACAGAAAGAAAAATCAATACATTATTCCCTTTGACTTTATGAAAAAATATTGTTATCTTTGTTGAAGACATTGTTATCATGGTATACGTCATTGTTAAACAGGTATACGATGTGACGTCATAACTTTTGGACGTAATTACTTACTAAGTCAACCCTGTTGTCTATATGACAACAATCACTGGTCCACACTCAATTGTTTACAGGTTGGCATCATAAAGCTAGAATATTGTGCGGCGTTTAACAACAAACAAACCAAACGCTGTTGATCGCGTGTCTTGAATGGAGGTTTAGGATCTTACCTTGGCCCATGTGTATAAACAAGAACACCTTCATTCTACAGATGGGGGTCACTGGAAGAAGTGACAGTCTCGGATTATACATCCTCCTTGGTACCCTTTTACCTCAGTTGTCCCAAGGTACGTAGAAAAGGAAAACACTTTTATTTCGAATGACTGCGACAGTACTCGTATGTAGAACCGACTGCGTGTAATACATGTTCAAACTAATGTGATTTTGTTGATTGTTATGTTACTTGCAGTTAACCATATTCCAGTTACATCAGTGAAAATATGTTTCTCTTGCACTGTGCAAGTACCGTGTAGACGGGATACGATGACATGGCATCAGCACGGTCTCCGAGATTTCCCACTGTCGCCGGTTTAAACGTAATGACACTGTATTTATACATCCCAGGTGCAGCAGAGCTTGTGTGTCCAGAGATAGGATTCTTGGACTCGCCAGCAAACCTGAGCTGCATTGGCACAGGAAGCACACACTCCTACATCCAGCCATCAGGGGGCGTTGTGACCACATGTGACATGACCATTGCTTACTGTCTACCTGAGGCGATGGTGACTATACCGAACTCTTCCTACAGTGTCCTCACACTACCAAGGGTAAACCAGTCACACGCAGGACACTGGGCTTGCGTCATTGGGATTTCTGTGTCACGTTGTCTCATGACTGTAGCAAGTAAGTATGTTACTTTAGCTCAGACCATCACCTGGTGACTGTATACATCGCGTCGTTATAGCAACGGTGCCCGATCACGACAAAGTTGTCAGTGCAAAATTAGAATTATACATTTCTAAGTAATTGGTATGACATGATACAAATATATATATATCAGTAGGTGGAACATCGACATGTAGGATATAGTAACTGTTCTTCTCGTAACAACAACAACGTTACATTAGTTGTGTATTTTGTATTTCAGAACTTCCATCATGTGCCACATTGAGTAACCGGTCTGCAGAAGAAGTGACAGTACGTGTACAAGACTACCATTGTTCTGACTCCATTGAGCTGTATTTGAAGACTGGAAACGTTACAGGAAGACTGTTGAATACATCACGTATTAATACTACTGTTGGCATGGTTGAGATCACAGTCAATGTAACAACATACCTTGTAGAGTCAAAGACATTGGTCTTTGTCTGTGGCAATACGAGTTGGGAAATTGCTTGTCAAGGTACTGAACCTTCATATATGCTGTCCTTTTTTAAGTCCTATGATCGTTTGTCAGGTATGTCTACATCCATCCTCGTGGGTTTTACCCAAATGGTTAGAGCTTAACATCCCTTTCACTATTATTTCATTTAGGAGAAAAATATTTCGTTTCGTAAGTTTTGACATGATACAAATGTACATATGTTACAGTTTATATGTAAAATGACGAAAATTTTCAGTTTGGCATTTACAAAACGCCATAACAATTTAATCATTTTACAATGAGTTTTCCATTTATTAGTTTGTTTGCTGTTTAACGTCGCACCTAGCAATATCCCTGCTATATGACGGTTGTCTGTAATCGAATCAGGACCGGACAATCTAGTGGTTGACATCATGAGCATCAATCTAGGCAATGGGGACACGATGACATGCATAAACCAAGTCTGTCGAGCCTGGCCACCCGATCCCATTAGTCACCTCTTTACGACAAGCGTGGGTTGCTGGAGACCATTTCTAACCCGGAATCTTTCCATTTATCGTATTTTGATAACTAATTCCACATATGTTTATTATCTATATAATCACCCAGTGACAGAAAGAAAACGAAAGTAAATGTATATTGTTGTTTTTTGGCTCCTGATCCTAGCATAGTTAGACTTTTGTGATGTTTTTAAGCCCTTTTGAACTTCTAAATAACTTTGAGTCAATCTGACGGGAAAATAATTGTAAAATGACTGAAATATTTTGGCGTTTTGTATTTTGCCTAAGTGAATTTTACACATAAGTCGTAATATATATATAGATCAGTAGGTGGAACATCGACATATAGGACATAGTAACTGTTCTTCTCGTATGCTTTGTATAAAAAAACAACAACAACGTTACAATAGTTGTGTTTTTTTGTATTTCAGAACCCCCGTCATGTGACATTTTGAGCAGCCGGGCTGCAGAGAAAGTGACAGTACGTGTACAAGACTACCATTGTTCTGACTCCATTGAGCTGTATTTGAAGACTGGAAACGTTACAGGAAGACTGTTGAATACATCACGTATAAATACTACTGTTGGCATGGTTGAGATCACAGTCAATGTAACAACATCCCTTGTAGAGACAAAGACATTGGTCTTTGTCTGTGGCAATACGAGTTGGGAAATTGCTTGTCAAGGTACTGAACCTTTAATTTTGCTCTAGTATTGATTTGAGTTGAGGATAGATGGTGGATGTATAATAAAGAGACAGGTTAATAAGGTTTAGAGCACTTTAAATTAGTTAAGCAGACAGGAACTGTTTTGTTTGTCATGTTACTCACAGTGGGAGAACCGACTGTTTTATACGCTTTGTGTAGCGTGTCAAAATCCTTTGATCGTATGTTTGGTGTGTCTACAACCCTGCTCCTGGGTTTTATCCAAACGGTTAGCGTTTAACATCCCTTTCAATATTATCATATTCTATAATTTCTTCCAAGGTATTGATATCCTAAATAATTCAATCAATTGTTTGCATACACATTTTACACTTTTTTCAGTGAAGGCGGCGAAAGAAAGTAATGGAAGCAATAGCTCTGTTGTCATCATAGGGGCTGTCGTTGCCGGAAGCGTGTTTGTCATCATCATCGTCATGCTGGTACTGATGCTGGTAAAGATGAAGCAATCACAACAGCCAGAAACACAGAGTGATAGAAATGTGTACGATTCTCCTAATGACGTTGATGGACGAACGGATGAAACATCTGGACATGAATACAACACTTTGTACCGAACTCCCTTTGAGGGAGACAGTATCTATAATGTCATATCCAGTTAAGTACACTGTGTAAATATACACGTATCCAAACACCATGACGGTACTATGCTGGTGCCACAAACATCGAAGTGATAAAGGAGTTTTGGTAACCATATCTCTTTCCTGCTCCCAATCAACGATTTTGATATTGACTTGTCACTGTACAGAGCTTCGGACTGTCTCGCCGTGTTTTCCTCATAGATTTGCGATTTTATCGCTTTTCCCTGCTGCACATAATTATCTTCCAAACCAACGTTTTTTTTTTGTAGCTTTAGTTTCCAGTGTTTCTACCACATGTATAAGTTTGTGTAAATTAAATCTAACTTGTGTCGTTCATACACTTATCATGTCATGTGACCGACCACTCGTCCAGTGGAAAAGCCGTATATGATGTAAGCGTTATCGTTGCTTACAATATCAATCACTGGATTGTCTGGTCCAGGCTCACGAGGCCATCATGTAGATGAAAAATAGCTGAGTGTGGCATTAAACAACCAACAGACAACATTGTAAAATATACGTCACATCAGTATAACGTCATTGTTAAGTGTATATCATATCATTATGATGTCATTGTAATGTAAAGTTACATTAGAACAACGTCATTGTAAAATATACGTCATATCAGTACTACGTCACTGTACAGTATTATTCGATATCAGTTATATGTCAATATGTAGGAATCATGAATTGACTTTATGTAATACTGTATATAGTACAAAAGATAAACTTTGTTACTGTTATTGTCATTAACCATTAAGTCAAAAGACGCCTACCCACCACACCTTATCAAGCGCCATGGTGCTGAATTTATGTAACTATCACAAGGGCCTATAGTGTCGCTGTATTTGTTAATTCCTTTTCACGGTTTACCCTGTTATACCGCAAAGTGTATATGAGTGAGTGAGTGAGTTTGGTTTTACGCCACTTTTAACAGTATTCAAGTAATATCGCGGCGTGTCAGCTTAATGTGGGAGGAAAGCCCAAAGTGATGCAGGTCTCAGACGTTTACCACTTCGGTGAAACCCACGAGCACGGGTATGGTGCTGACAAACCTATAAACATAATCAGGGCGAACCAGGATTCCAACCTACGATCATAGGTTTCCGGCGTGTCCAAGGGACGCAACTCTGAACAGCGAATCGCGGCACCTTAGACGACTGGGCAATCCGTGCCCCCGCAAAGTGTATATGAGTGAATCCAGGCATAACTATTGCAAATGACGAGTTGATACATAATACAGAAATACCAGCTATCCATTCAAAGACATCTGTGGTAAGAGGCGTTTATCAAATATCAGTTACTCTATGAAACAAAGCCTTTAGTTAAATCTGTAGCTTGGGTTTTCCTCTTGTGTACAGTTCGATGGCTGGATGTTCGACAGTGTCTGTCAGTTGGACATTCTCGCTATATGACACAGCCAACAAGATTTTCTTATACCAAAGACACTCATTCACCGCGTAACATATAATTAGAACTTGGAATTCTCACTATTGTCAATACCACGCATTATATTATAACTAGCATGGACATCTACATAAGGTAATTCCATTTTGCTTCAAAGGGGGACCACCCTCGCGGCTCATTTCCAGTCTCTTTCTAGTCGTCATATGTCGACCTTTGCCATTTGTCAGAGCATCCCGTCCCTTTAATCAGATCATTATACCTTCATGAACGGGTATTGTCAATATATCTATAACCATTAACCACGTAACATACAATAAGAACTATATGCATTGAAGAACGGACACTGAAACTAATGAAGAGTTAGATTTCCTTTGATACTGAATTCGCCTAAATCATGTAGTATGTTTTAAATAGCAACCTCACATAAGTAATTGAGATTCCTTTAAACAAGGATGAGTCTTCAAAGTCTCGCAGTCTATTTCCAGCCTCTTTCTCTTACATTTGCGTGAAAATAATATAAACTAAGCGGCAAAAGAAAGTATAGGTTGGCAATTTGTAATTTTCTTTAAAACAGCGATAACTAGTGGAAAGTGGGTATTGGGAATATGACTGCCCAGTACCAAAAAAACACTTCACCCGAACGCACCACCATTGACGGCGCTCGTGCGGTGACACAAAAATGGTGAAACAGGTTTCCCGCCTATGGCATAAACTTCACATGCATGTTAGCTGTATAAATGCGTTCGTCTGCAGGGTATAACCACACGTGATGAAAGCACACCAAAGAAATGCCACAACAGCAGCAGAGAGAGAGTGCCATCGGTATGGCCGAAACGGGGGCAACGCAGGTCCAAATTGCCAGAAGGTTTGGTTGTACACCATTGAGAGTAGCCAAGCTGAGTCAACGGTACAGGCAGACAGGGAGGACACAGGACAAGCCTAGAACCGGACGACCCCGAGTGACAACACCACTGGAAGACTGCCTGCGAAACAGATTCGTAACGGCGACGGCGACGGCAGCAAAAGCGTTGGGACATCCCATTAGCCAACGTACAGTACTACGACGACTTCGTGCTGCTGGAATCCGAGTGCATCGTCCTATCCGAGGAATGGTACTGACTGCTCAAAATCGACGCATGAGACTGCAATTGCCGAGGCAGGTTCGACGCTGCCAAGTGAGAAATTGGTGTCGAGTGCTGTTTACTGATGAAAGTCGGTTTAACTTATTTCGAAATGACGGCAGAGAACGATTTTATCGACGCAGAGGGGAACGTTTGGCTCCGGCGTGTATTCGAGAGGTCCATCCATTCAGCAGGGGAGGTGTCATGGTGTGGGGCGGTATTTGTTGAGATCAGAGGAATGATTTGGTAATTATACAGGGAAACCTGAACGCTGTGCAGTACAGAGACCAAGTGTTGCAGCCAGTTGTGCCTCCGTTCTTACAAATCCAAAAGTAGGGGACATTGTTTCAACACGACAATGCCAGGCCCCATACTGCAGGACTGACTCGGAACTTTCTAAACCAGCAGAACGTTGACGTTTTTCCCTAGCCTGCCCACTCACCCAATATGAATCCTATTGAACATCTGTGGGACCATCTTGACAGACAGATTAGAGCACGCCATCAGCCTCCCGTCGGAGAGACGAGTGGCAACGGATTCCAGTCCACGTCATCAGAAGACTGACGTCATCGATGAGGCTGCGTATCACAGCATGCATTGAGGCAGCTGGAGGTCATACACGATATTGAAGGCATCTGTGTCGACAATGAACTTGTAGTGTGACTGACAATTTTTTGGTGACATTTCAGACAACTTTTGAAATGAAATTTCTTACCCCACCATTGTTTACCTTGAGCTTACAATATCTGTGATTGCACAATTTCATTCAAACTGTGGTTGATCAATCATTTGTTACCCCTCCCCAGGTTATATTATAATTCACAACAAAACCTCGTCTTGTTATTTTTTTTATCGATCATGGATCTCGACCTATACTTTCTTTTGCCGCCCAGTTTATTTGCTTTGTGTAGTAGGGATACTTGCTGTAATACAGACTTTGGTTTAAGGATTAGCAAAGCAATGTTTGGAGGACTTCAGTAAAACTTGATGGGATTGCCATTTTCCAGAGCCACGTGTCCCTTTGATCAGACACAAGAGAGTTATTATCAGCAGTTTCAGAGTAATGCAGTGTGTGTGTTTCTTCACATAGCCCAATGCTTCCACTCACTGTTATATTGATCACCAAGGCTTATATCACAGGCTATAGTTGAGATATTTATAACTTCCTTATGCAGTGTTATACAGTCAATGTGGTTATGCATAAATGTCTAATATTCCTTATAGTGCCATGGATTATGTATACTCCTTATACAGAAACACCACAAACCTTGTGACACTGTCGACTAGCGGAATGGCGGTGGATCGATCCCAGGCCACGTTACGCAAAAATACGTCAAAACAATTTTTGAATTAAACATTATGACTATGTCTGTCATTAGTACACTGGTGAGTGTGTGAGGTTTATGCCGCGTTTAGAAATATTCGTTCTCCAAGAATGAACTCCACCCACTGTACATTTCCAAATTTAACTTATTATTGGGCGTGACGAGTGAACACGCTGACCAGAATACTATCGCATTGAAAATAGGTTATCAGGCACTTCATACATGTATATACGAATATATACTTCAATGACTCAAGGATATAGAGATTCTCACCCGAGTGTCTTTTGATATCGAATATATCAACAAGAGGTGATAAAAGACACGAGGGTGAGATTTTATTTATCAACCAACATCCTTCTTCCAACTTTTTTCAGTTTGTAGACAGTAATAAGCAGTGTCTTAAGTGTAAAGGTACTGCTAAGAGCTTCAGCAGCAGAGCCATAAGTGATGTCATTTGATTGTGATGTCATGGTAACCAACGGCGTCACATTGGTCTGCAAAGAATTTTGATGCAATTTCATTGCAGCGATATCTACAGTGTATATATGGCTTGATCTCAACCAAGCGATATCTCCTGTGGGAGCCAGTTTTGGATGATGATTAAGGATTGACCTTCACTTTGTGTGAGTTCATTGGAGTATGAACCTTCATAGGGTGAGGGCCAAACTGTATGAAGGCCTGTAACTATATGTTTGGCCCTCACTCTACGAAGGTTCATACTCCAATGAACTCTCACAAAGTGAAAGTCAATTTTATAAAAAAATTATCACAATTTGTTACCTCAAAGGATGTAGGCCTAGATCTAAACACAATTTTATTTAGTAGGTGTGATTTCATGTTTACACTGACAACCATACAACAACCAGCTATACAGCGGAATAAAATAGTTCCATATGGTATCAGTCATGTTCCACATGGTATCAGTCATATTCTACATGGTATCAGTCATATTCCATATGGTATCAGTCATATTCCATATGGTATCAGTCATGTTCCACATGGTATCAGTCATATTCTACATGGTATCAGTCATATTCCACATGGTATCAGTCATATTCTACATGGTATCAGTCATATTCCACATGGTATCAGTCATGTTACACATGGTATCAATCATATTCTACATGGTATCAGTCATATTCCACATGGTATCAGTCATGTTCCACCTGGTGTCAGTCATGTAACACATGGTATCAGTCATATTCTACATGGTATCAGTCATATTCCACATGGAATCAGTCATGTTCTACATAGTATCAGTCATGTTCCACATGGTATCAGTCTCCGAGATCCAGAAAAAGGTAACATTTGTCACATTTATAAGAAAGTGTGATAGCTGTCTATCGCCTTGTTGTAATTGCAAAGTAAGGAAATCCATTACGCGCAAAACCCTCTTGGCCAGATAAAACCCTGTTGGCCAGACAAAACCCTATTGGCCAGACAAAACCCTATTGGCCAGATAAAACCCTATTGGCCAGACAAAACCCTATTGGCCAGACAAAACCCTATTGGCCAGATTAAACCCTATTGGCCAGATAAAACCCTATTGGCCAGACAAAACCCTGTTGGCCAGACAAAACCCTATTGGCCAGACAAAACCCTATTGGCCAGACAAAACCCTATTGGCCAGACAAAACCCTGTTGGCCAGACAAAACCCTATTGGCCAGACAAAACCCTATTGGCCAGATTAAACCCTATTGGCCAGACAAAAACCTATTTGACCTTTCAAATCGGGTGCTTCTATGTGAAGCGCCGATTTCAGTTTATTTCCTGCTGTCGATTAATAAAAATAAATATGAAATGACAAACGCATGAACAAATTCTCTAGCTTGACACAAATCTGCTGAAAAGTTGCCTTGGGGTGAAATATATGTATCACAGTACACAAAAACGAAACAAAACAACAACCCTCACCAAATAACACATGGTCGGAAAATTTATCATTTTACTTCCTACTTCCTCCAAGGTGACCACGATAGCGTTAAATTTGTGTTTGATGTAATCTGTGTCTGCTTCATGTGTCGGTGATTATCATGGCGTAAACTTTTGTTTTGCCTCAACACGTTTCTATTGTTTCTGTGAAAAATAATCTACCACAACACCATTAGTTTAAGGAAGTATATTCGCATATGTATTATTCAAGGGAAGTATTTGTAATTTGATTCATGTTAATGCAGCTCAGCTGACTGCAGATCTACTACTGTGGGTGCGGAGTGTTCAGGGAAGGAGCAAGACTGGTTGACTACCTGCAACAACAGTAAGTTTATATACACTGTAGACATGATTCGTTAATTGTCATTGATTTAAACCAAAGGTATACACATCCTCAGATCAAAGCCATCTGTTATAAGGGCAGAAATGATCCGACGAATATTACTTTTAGTAAATAGATCAGCGATTGCTGTTCACGTTCCATCCACGACCTGAAAGCATGTTGCTTTACGACGAATAATTAGTATTAGTCCAAACATATAACTTTGACAGACAGAGAAACTAGCCTATTTTGTGTCATTGTGGTTTTTTACCACAGGTCACACTGAGTGGCATTGTTGTACCTCAGAATCAGTTAAGGTTATACAGGACGTGAGGAAAGTGACAAGTAATTACAATATGTATTGGTAAGAAATGCCGTTATCATTGTTGTGTAATTCGACTTTTCACATCAGTTATGTTAACTACACAATAGAAGTGAGGAAAATACATGAATTTCATAAAAGAAAGTAAAATACAATACATTATTCCCTTTGACTTAATGAAAAAAATATTATTATATTTATTGAAGATCGCATGAAGACAGTGTTATCATGGTATACGACATTGTTAAACAGGTATACGATGTGACGTCATTAACATTCGGACGTTATTTCATACTAAGTCAACACAACTGTCTATATGATATCAATCACTGGTCCACACTCAATTATTTACACGTTTGCATAAAAATCTAGACTATTGTGCAGCGTTTAACAAAAAACAAAAAAAGACGCTGTTGCTGTGCGTCCAGAATGAATTTATTATCTTTCTTACCTTGATCCATATGCATAAACAAGAACACCTTCATTCTACAGAAGGAGTTCACTGGAAGAAGTGACAGTCTCGGATTATACATCCTTCTTGGTATACATTTGACTCAGTTTTCCCAAGGTACGTAACGAAGAAAAGTACTTTTGTTTCAACTGATTGCGACAATACTCGTACGTAGTGAATAAAAACATGTTTTGTCTCCTACTGCGTGTAATACATGCTACAATAATGTGTTTTTGTTTCATTGTTATTTTATTTCCAGTTATGTCACTGTAAATATTGTTTTCGCGTGCAAGTACCGTGTAGTCGGGATATGATGACATGCAATCAGTACGGTCTCCGAGATTCTCCAATGTCGCCGGTGTCAACATATAATGACACTGTATTAATACATCCCAGGTGCAGCAGAGCTTGTGTGTCCAGAGATAGGATTCTTGGACTCGCCCGCAAACCTGAGCTGCAGTGGCACAGGACGCACACACTCCTACAGGCACCAATCAGGGGGCGTTGTGACCACATGTGACATGACCATTGCTTACTGTCTACCTGACGCGATGGTGACTATACCGAACTCTTCCTACAGTGTTCTCACACTACCAAGGGTAAACCAGTCACACGCAGGACGCTGGACTTGCTCCATTGGGGATTATGTGTCACGTTGTCTCATGACAGTTGCAAGTAAGTATGTTACTTTAGCTCAGACCATCACCTAGTGACTGTATACATCACGTCGTTGAAGCAACGGTGCCCGATCACGACAAAGTTGTCAGTGCAAAATTAGAATTATACATTTCTAAGTTATTGGTATGACATGATACAAATATATATATCAGTAGGTGTAACATCGACATGTAGGATATAGTAACTGTTCTTCTCGTATCAACAACAACGTTACATTAGTTGTGTTTTTTTTGTATTTCAGAACTCCCATCATGTGACATATTGAGTAACCGGTCTGCAGAAGAAGTGACAGTACGTGTACAAGACTACCATTGTTCTGACTCCATTGAGCTGTATTTAAAGACTGGCAACTTTACAGGAAGACTGTTGAATACATCACGTATTAAAACCACTGTTGGCACGGATGAGATCACAGTCAATGTAACAACATCCCTTGTAGAGCCAAAGACATTGGTCTTTGTCTGTGGCAATACGAGTTGGGAAATTGCTTGTCAAGGTACTGAACCTTTATATATGCTGTCCTTTTTTAAGTCCTATGATCGTTTGTTAGGTGTGTCTACATCCATGCTCGTGGGTTTTACCCAAATGGTTAGCGCTTAACATCCCTTTCACTATTATTTCATTTAGGAGATAAATATTTCGTTTCGTAAGATTTGACATGATACAAATGTACATATGCTACAGTCCATATGTGAAATGACTGAAATTATCAGTTTCGCATTTACAAAAGGCCATAACAATTTAATCATTTTACAACGAGTTTTCCATTTATTAGTTTGTTTGCTGTTTAACGTCGCACCTAGCAATATCCCAGCTATATGACGGTTGTCTGAAATCGAATCAGGACCGGACAATCTAGTGATTGACATCATGAGCATCAATCTAGGCAATGGGGACACGATGACATGCATAAACGAAGTCTGTCGAGCCTGGCCACCCGATCCCGTTAGTCACCTCTTTACGACAAGCATGGGTTGCTGGAGACCATTTCTAACCCGGAATCTTTCAATTTATCTTATTTTGATAACTAATTCCACATATGTTTATTATCTGTTTAATCACCCAGTGACAGAAAGAAAACGAAAGTAAATGTATATTGTTGTTTTTATATATGCTCCTGATCCTAGCATAGATGGACTTTTGTGATGTTTTTAAGCCCTTTTGAACTTCTAAATAACTTTTAGTCAATCTGACGGGAAAATAATTGTAAAATGACTGAAATATTTTGGCGTTTTGTATTTTGCCTAAGTGAATTTTACACATAAGTCGTAATATATATATAGATCAGTAGGTGGAACATCGACATATAGGACATAGTAACTGTTCTTCTCGTATGCTTTGTATAAAAAACAAAAAACTTACAATAGTTGTGTTTTTTTTATTTCAGAACCCCCGTCATGTGACATTTTGAGCAGCCGGGCTGCAGAGAAAGTGACAGTACGTGTACAAGACTACCATTGTTCTGACTCCATTGAGCTGTATTTGAAGACTGGAAACGTTACAGGAAGACTGTTGAATACATCACGTATAAATACCAATGGTGGCATGGTTGAGATCACAGTCAATGTAACAACATCCCTTGTAGAGACAAAGACATTGGTCTTTGTCTGTGGCAAGACGAGTTGGGAAATTGCTTGTCAAGGTACTGAACCTTTAATTTTGCTCTAGTATTGATTTGAGTTGAGGATAGATGGTGGATGTGTAATAAAGAGACAGGTTAATTAAGTTTAGAGGACTTTAAATAAGTTAAGCAGACAGGAATTGTTTTGTTTGTCATGTTACTGACAGTGGGAGAACCGACTGTTTTATAAGCTTTGTGTAGCGTGTTAAAATCCTTTGATCGTATGTTTGGTGAGTCTACAACCCTGCTCCTGGGTTTTACCCAAACGGTTAGCGTTTAACATCCCTTTCACTATTATTATATTTTATGATTTATTCCAAGGTATTGATATCCTAAATAATTCAACCAATTGTTTACATACACATTTTACACTTTTTTCAGTGAATGCGGCGGAAGAAAGTAATGGAAGCAATAGCTCTGTTGTCATCATAGGGGCTGTCGTTGCCGGAAGCGTGTTTGCCATCATCATCGTCATTCTGGTACTGATGCTGGTAAAGATGAAGCAATCACAACAGCCAGAAACACAGAGTGATAGAAATGTGTACGATTCTCCTAATGACGTTGATGGACGAACGGATGAAACATCTGGACATGAATACAACACTTTGTACCGAACTCCCTTTGAGGGAGGCAGTATCTATAATGTCATATCAAGTTAAGTACACTGTGTAAATATACACGTATCCCAACACCATGACGGTATTATGCTGTTGCCTCAAACATCAAAGTGATAACGGAGTTAGTTTTGGTAACCATATCTCTTTACTGCTCCCAATCAACGATTTTGATGTTGACTTGTCACTTCACAGAGCTTCGGACTGTCTCTACATGTTTTCCTCATGGATTTGCGATTTTATCGCTTTTCCCTGCTGCACATAATTATCTTCCAAACCAACGTTTTTTTTTTGTAGCTTTAGTTTCCAGTGTTTCTACCACATGTATAAGTTTGTGTAAATTAAATCTAACTTGTGTCGTTCATACACTTATCATGTCATGTGACCGACCACTCGTCCAGTGGAAAAGCCGTATATGATGTAAGCGCGATCGTTGCTCACAATATCAATCACTGGATTGTCTGGTCCAGGCTCACGCGGCCGCCATGTAGATGAAAAATAGCTGAGCGCGACATTAAACAACCAACAGGCAACATTGTAAAATATACGTCATATCAGTATTACGTCATTGTTAAGTGTATATCATATCATTATGATGTCATTGTAATGTAAAGTTACATTAGAACTGCGTCATTGTAAACTATACGTCGTATCAGTTCGACGTCACTGTACAGTATACTGTGATATCAGTATTATGTCAATGTGTAGGGATCATGAATTGACTTTCTGTTATACTAACTGTATATAGTTCCATAAGATAAACTTTATTACTGTTATTGTCATTAACCATTAAGTCAAAAGACGCCTACCCGTCACACCTTATCAAGCGCCATGGTGCTGAAGTTATGTGACTATCACAAGGGCCTATTGTGCCGGTGTATTTTTTAATTCCTTTTCACGTTTTACCCCGTTATACCGCAAAGTGTATATGAGTGAGTGAGTGAGTTGGGTTTTACGCCACTTTTAACGGTATTCCAGTTATATCGCAGCGTGTCAGCTTAATGTGGGAGGAAAGCCCAAAGTGATGCAGGCCTCAGACGTTTACCACTTCGGGGAAACCCACGAGCGCGGGTATGGTGCTGACAAACCTAAAACCATAATCGGGGCGAACCGGGATTCGAACCCACAATCATAGGTTTCTGGCATGCCCAAGCGAATCGCGGAGCCTTAGACGACTGGGTCACCCGTGCCCCCCCCCCCCCCCCCCCCCCCAGGTTTGACTTATTGGGAAATCCATCGTGTCAATGCACTGGGCATTGCGTGGTGAACGGTATGTAGGAAATAAATTGATAGGGAAGTAGTCATGCAGGGTATATTTACACAATGACATGCGTTTAAATGCACTGAAAAGCCCTTTGATGTGCTTTGTTACAGACCAGGATAAAATGTAGGTATATGTTGTGGGTTTTATAAACGGTGTATTGGTAGTACACATTTCGCACTGTTAGGAAGCTCAGCGAGGTAAGTAGTTGACATTTGAGTCTACATTTAATAATATGTACTTAGCAATGCTTGGCAAAAATGTATTGTACATAATCAAGCGAGTGAGTGAGTTCAGTTTTACGCCGCTTAAGCTTTGAACACTATTCTAGTCATATTACGGCGTTTCATGGGAAGAAAGGCCGAAGTGATGCTTTACCACTTTGGTGAAACCAACGAGCACGGGTATGGTGCTGAGAAACATGGAAACATAATCGGGGCGAACTGGGTTTCGAACCCGCAATCATAGGTGACTGGCGTGCCCAAGGACGGCAACTCTGCACAACATGTTCAAGAAACAATTTAACCAAAGAAGATTATATCGCTACAATGCAAACTACGCTTGGTTAGAACAATAACAGAATAGAAACAATCACTATGTATTATAGTACTACGGTGAATAACAACAGTGTTATTTACTGTTACACCGAGGCAAATATTCACACCTATAACGTGGTATAAGGTGGATGTCAATGTTCACGCATCGACGGACACCAGCTGTACATTAATATAACCAATGAATTTTTTTGTCCAGAAAAAGACGTTATGACAATTGCAACAATCAATATGCAGTATAGTACTTAAGCCCCTTTTGTGATCACAGCATCATTATTTTATGTTATATCTAGGCAAATTAACACAACTACAAGCGTGGTTTGAGGTGGAATGTTCTAGCATCAACGGACATCAGCTGAACATTCATAAAAATAAGTTTAGTAATACATAATGATACTACAACACATATTTTCCTGCTGACAGTCTTAGCACAATTATTGACGGGCCACCTGTATAATTTGGGTAGGAAAAACTATTTATGAATTTGTTGCCATTGCTGAATGTATTATAAATGACCTCTAATGCAGTCAGTGGAGTGTGGTGAGGAGAAATGGGGTTTCACGTCGCGTCCAAGATTATTGCACTTCTATAGCGACGTGTGTGTGTGTGGCTGCTTGTACTAGTCCGGACTGATGTCGATTTATAGTGCAAGCCCACTGAGATACCATGCCACAGTTTAACATGAATACCCCACTCAGACACAGTATACTAACTCCAAGCCTGCCAGTCCTTCTTTTATCCAATTAATGCCGAGCGCAAGGCAGGATAACAACAAGTACAATATTTTAACGTCTTTTGATATGACGCAGCCGGATTTATGAAGTTACATCATGTTTACATAGACGGCTAGAGAGACAGTATATCCCATCAGCTTACCTTCACCTAAACTTTAAAATAATCACAATGTTAACGTGAGCTATGGCGTTCGATTCAACGTCAACGCCAAGATAGCGTTTGTCTTTGAGTAATGTTTTGTGATCTACAGGCTGCGACGGATGTCAAGTCAGTGGAATCATCAACAAGAGAAGATAATGAAACTCATGCTCAGTTTAGTTTGTCTTCTTCAAGGTTAGTTTGAGTTTCTTGTTTTAGTAAATAGTGAGTGACTGAGTTGTGTTTAACACCGCTTTTAACAGTATTCCAGTCATATCACGGCGTGTAAGCTTAATGTGGGAAGAAGCCCCAAGTGATGCAAGTCTTAGACGTTGACCACTTCGGTGAAACCCACGAGCACGGGAATGGTGCTGACAAACCTAGAAACATAATCGGGGCGAACCGGGATTCGAACCCACAATCATAGGTTTCTGGCATACGCATTTGCTTTCGAACAAAATAGAAACTTCTTGATCAAGTTTATCTGGAATGATGTTGTTGTGTAATCAGTGCGTGTCATTTTCAAACTCTTGCTGTGTGACATTACTTATTCAAATAAGGTTTTACTGAAAGCCGTTATTTTTGAGAGGGGAGTGTCTAGTGAGATATCACCATAGATGTATCTGGGCAACACACAGAAACGCGATGGCAGAACGATCGCACCCAAAAGCGGGAGAGATATGTCAATCGTCATTGGGAGAAAAGGTACAGTTGATCGAATTAAGGATTGTGAGAATATGCGGGAAATACCCACGCGAGCATAAAATTGACCCTATTGAGGGAGTAATCATTATCAAAATACGGGTAATAAGTTTTAAAGCTTGTACATTTCATCATCATCCTAAAGAGACTGTACATAATGATGATATCTCATATATGAAATAAACGATTTGTGGTTGTTGTACAATAAACCACAGCAGGGAGAATGAACGCTCCTCATGGTTTATTCTCCCTGCAGTGTTTTATTGTACGACAAAAAACGCCCACTCGTCGTTTATGTCTTAAATACAGTAAACTACGGTTAAAACGAACTCAAAGGGACTACTAATATTAGTTCGTTATAACCATAGTTCGCATAAGTATATATACAGCAAATGGTCGGGACCTAATATTGAGTTCGTTATATCCCTCGGTTCATTATATGCGTGTTCGTTATAAACGTAGTTTACTGTATAGTACATTGTCAGAGGTCCCCATGTTATTGACGACTTTTTTTATTTAACACAGGTGTCAGCTCACTAAGGTTGGATTGCCCAACATTTGCGGAACTTGGTTCTTCAACACATTTAATTTGCTTTGAGACACAGTCTAACATGTCCTTAGTTTCATGGACAAGGCCTGATAATGCATTAGCTAGCATTTGCAATGGTCTTGGGTGTGACGGCCGCGATGGATATACAGTTTCGCGTAATTCTAGCCACAGTAAGCTAAAGATACTGGAAGTAGGTGAGAAAGATATCGGAACATGGACTTGCAGCACCCGTATTAGATTACAGTGTACAGTGGAGGGTTACAGTGAGTAGCATTTTATCTTACAGAACATTTTACTTTACAAATTAGGGAGATCACATGTTCATATGCGTATGTGCTATCGGGCATTTCATCCCATTAAGCTTACCGGCTATTGCATAACTGAAATAATCGTTGCATGATAGACCAGAGACAAAATCTTTGATGACATTGGTAGTCTCAGATTCAGGATTATGCTTGCATGTCTTA